GAAAAATAAATTACAACCGAAAAATAAATTAAAACTTAAAACGGAAAGATTTTAGCCAAGACGAGTAAAACTCTTTCCGCAAGAAGAATACGCCCCGTGTGGCAGCTAACGGTTTAGGCGTAACTTCCCCAAAGATACAACGGCAAACGTCTCTAAATCTGTAGCACACCAGATTTACGAGCTCCGGCGAACTGGAACAGAGTCGAGAATTGAACACTTAAAATAGGAATAGAAAATCACTCTTTTGTTATTTCGATAACAAATAAATATTTCTATATTTTTCTCTATGATATTTTTATCCCTCCAAAATTATTTTTATACCTCTAATTTTCCTTTCCCTCTTTCTTTCTTTCCTTTTCTCTTTATTTTCTTCTGTGTCCTTTCTCCTCTGCCGAGTATCCCTATTTATAGGGTGAGAAGGCCAACAAATTGTTAAAATATATATATATATATATATATTTTTTTATCTTAACAATTGGGGCAGCTCATCCGCACCTACATAACACCTTCCCTTTATATATATATATATATATTTTTTTTAATTGCAATTGGGGCGGCTGCATGTGGCACCGCCCCTACACTTTTCTCCAACATATACATTATTACAAAGGCACCATTATGTGCTCTTTGATAAACCTTCATGCTCTTTGATCAACCTTTTAATTACTTCGGCATTCCAGCTACTTGCTCCGGGCTCCTATCTTCTAAAAAATACATAATTACTTAGGCACCCGAGCTACTTACTTTGGGCTCCTGCCTTCTTAAAATACTTGATTACGAAAAAATATTTTTTTTAACCTTTCATTCTATTTTAATTTTTTTTAAACATGAGAAATTCAATTGTAGATCAAGTATTGCTAATCATAAAATGTAAGTGAATCTTAATTGTTATTACTATATTTTATTTGCATTTTAAAAATTCTCAAATTATATAGGATCAAAGTTGACATAAAATATATTAATAACACGCATTTATTTTTATAGCGGTTCTTAATTTTGGTTCTTCGGTTCGGTACGGTACGGGACGGTTCGGTTCTCGGTACGGATATTTATGAAATATCCAGAACCGTACCAATTACTTTTTCGGTTCGAAGAAACTCAAACGGTCAACGGATATTTTTCGGTTCAGAGTGATTTCGGTTCGGTTTTCGGAACGGTTCGGAATTCTCCGAGTCCCGTGCTCAGTCCTATTCTCAATATTATAAATATAACTAAAAAATATCAATCATCTATCTCCTACATCACATCAACTTTAATTCAATATTTAACTACTTATCACTTCAATCACCTCTGTCATACTTTTACTCATTTTAATATTATTTAATTACAATCTCTTTCATCCTGCTCGATCAACTTTATTCAAAATAATTCACTTTAACTCATTATCCAATATTAATCATTTTAATTGGTTATGAGGGCTTATCAACTACCCCATTAAAGTTTGGCTGCAAAATTAATAAAACATCTGAATGTGAGCTCATGCTTATCAGTTATTATATTATTAATTTTAGGCAACTCTACATGTACAATTGTAGTTGATGTATTATTTAATGAACCACTTCTTTGAAAACAGAAATGAACAAAAATATTGTCATATTTCAATGAATTTT